TCTTGTGTTATTGATTTGTATGATGGAAAAGGTGAAGAAAATGAAAAGGTTTTTTCTTGGGTGCAAGAAAATTTCAATTTCTATACTTTTGCTGGCTTTCTTGGTTAGTGATTATAGATTCATATGAACCTGTGGGGCCCATGTTTCTGATCTGCATATTATGAAGATGTGATTTTCTTGGATTTTGTTTTTTGGTTCAGCCATGATTGTTCATTGTTTTAGCTTTGGCTGAATGTTTTATGCACTTCTTGTATGGTGGCAGTGTGAATTGATGAGAAATCAATTCGGTAGGGGAAAGTCTGTGAAAAAGTCCTGTGGGGATTTGTAATTGTTTCATGGGCAACACATGCCGTGGATCTTTCAGGGGGAAATATTTTCAGGGCTACAACCAGCCCGAAGAGCAATCTGCTTCCAATTCCAAGCCCAACACCGCGTCTGACCATTCGAATTCTGACCACTCCCAGTCCAGCTTGAAATCGCAGCACCACGGTCACCAAGAATCCCAAGACAGCCCCAACACCAAAACCAACAATAGTCATCCACCCCTCATTAGTCCCAGGAAAGATAACACCATGAGGAGAAGTGCTGATAACCAAAGTTATTATGTTTTGGGTCACAAGACCGCCAACATTCGTGATCTCTACACGTTGGGTCATAAATTAGGACAGGGACAATTTGGGACTACGTATTTATGCACTGAGATTGCTACTGGGGGTCAGTATGCATGTAAGTCTATCTCCAAAAGGAAGTTGATCTCAAAGGAGGATGTGGACGATGTTAGGAGGGAGATTCAGATAATGCACCATTTGGCTGGTCACAAGAATATTGTGACAATCAAGGGTGCTTACGAGGATTCACTGTATGTTCATATTGTAATGGAGCTTTGTTCTGGGGGTGAGTTGTTTGACCGCATCATCCAGAGAGGACATTACAGTGAGAGAAAGGCAGCTGAGCTAACAAGGATTATTGTTGGGGTTGTTGAAGCTTGCCATTCACTTGGTGTCATGCATAGGGATCTAAAACCTGAAAACTTCTTGTTGGTTAACAAGGACGATGATTTCTCTCTCAAGGCCATTGATTTTGGACTCTCAGTTTTCTTCAAACCAGGTAAACAAACAAAAATAATTTCATTTTGTTTGTTAATATTAGCTACAATGTGAGTTTACTTCACTTAATATTGAACAAAAAGTAGTATGGCATATCTTATATCGTGTTCACGTGGATTTGAGTAGCTAGACTTGCGTTGCGTGTATATAGTAATAAATTTGAATAATTCCTGTTCTGAATTTATTGGCACTGCCTCTAGATAATTATTGAAGAACTGGAATGCATGCATTGTCCTTATTGTCATTTAGAAACAAATGTTATCTTTAATTGCAAGCCTGTTAAACTCTATTAAGTCCTTTCCAGGTCAAGTTTTCACTGATGTGGTCGGAAGCCCATATTATGTTGCTCCGGAGGTACTCCTCAAGCATTATGGACCTGAAGCAGATGTGTGGACTGCTGGAGTTATACTGTATATTCTGCTCAGCGGCGTGCCACCATTTTGGGCAGGTAATGGTGGCTTCATATTTTCAAGAAGCAGAGATTAGTCCATGTTTTCTTTTATTGAAAAGTTTGCCTGTTTTGTGTTTGTTACACAGAAACCCAGCAGGGGATCTTTGATGCGGTCTTGAAGGGATATATTGACTTTGAATCAGAGCCATGGCCCGTAATATCTGACAGTGCAAAAGACCTAATCCGGAATATGCTATGTTCTAGGCCTTCAGACCGTTTGACTGCTCATGAAGTGCTATGTATGTTTAACCTTTTCTTAGCATTTTAAGTTATTTTTAGTGAAACAATGCGCATGAATTAATGCAACAAAATATTAGGTCGTTTTTAGTTAATGGTTGTACTCCATTTCTTTTCTATGGGTGGATCATGTCATTAAAACTACTTGCACAAACATGTTATGATAGGTCATGTGGAAATTTTTTTAGCGGCTTAGACTCCAAACCGCGGTTTTCTAAGCTCAGGGCCTTTTAAGTTTAGTTTTTAATTTGAACTCGGTCCATTCAATTTTTAAAGAGAAACGGCTACTTTTTTTTGTTGCGGTTTTGCCAGAAAGGAATAAACTTTCAAAGTCTGCTCTGAATTATCAATTTGAAGCATATGACGTGGGAAATTTTGCTTCCATTTCAACTCACACCAATTGCTTAGCCTTCCTTTTTAATGTGAGGGATTTCAAATTTTAGGAAACGGACAACCAGAAAGATTCTGTTGAAGTGGAATTAATCATGATTGTCTTTTTCACATTGCATACTTTTGCTAATCAAGGTTTTAACGGATGGATTTCCATTTTTAGGCCACCCTTGGATTTGCGAAAATGGGGTTGCTCCTGACAGAGCCCTAGATCCAGCCGTACTTTCTCGTCTCAAAACATTTTCTGCTATGAACAAGTTAAAGAAGATGGCCTTACGGGTAAGTGCATGAGAGACTGGAACACTTTGTTTAGAGTTTTCTGTCAATCTTAGTATTTCTTGTAAAGAGAATTTATACTTAATGTTGACTTTTGGCATGACACTTTACTAGAATCCTAGAACTTGTTCTGAAGGTATTTTTAGCTTTACGTTTTACCAGGTGATAGCTGAAAGCCTATCTGAGGAGGAGATTGCTGGGCTCAGAGAGATGTTCCAGGCAATGGATACTGATAATAGTGGTGCAATCACATTTGACGAACTTAAAGCTGGTTTGCGGAGATACGGCTCTACCATGAAGGATACAGAGATACGTGATCTTATGGATGCGGTAAGATGCTTGTTTCCAAACAGAATCATTTGTAGTTGGCTTGTTTACTTGTCTAATTCTCAATATTGTGGTTATTTATGTTCAACTTTGTTTATGTTTCACAAAGCTAAGCATTTTTCGTTCTTTCCCAGGCTGATGTGGACAACAGTGGAACAATTGATTATGGTGAATTTATAGCTGCTACAGTTCATCTTAACAAACTAGAACGTGAAGAACATCTGATTGCAGCCTTCCAATACTTTGATAAGGATGGAAGTGGTTATATTACAGTTGATGAGCTCCAGCAAGCTTGTACAGAACATAACATGACTGACGTCCTTCTTGATGATATTATAAAAGAAGTTGATCAGGATAATGTAAGTCAATAAAATTTCATGAGCAACCAAATATATTTACGACTCTTATGGCCATGCATTAGATGCAGAGGGTTTGATTTGCATCTGAATATCTTCCGGAAACAGTTTGGTGGAGAATCATATATTGTACTATCTTTCGTCTTTGTAGATTTAGGCTTGTTATTAGTTTTACTCAAAAATTCAATTCTGCCCTGTATGTAGGATGGAAGGATTGACTACGGTGAGTTTGTCGCCATGATGCAAAAGGGCAATGTGAAAGGAAACATGCCGGTTGGAAGACGGACTATGAGGAATAGTCTAAATGTGAGCATGAGAGATGCACCGGGAGCTCATTAGCTTCCAACTAAAGCACGCCAGCGTCATGTAAAGGTATCCTTCTCCGCATTTCAATATATCCAGATAACTCCATTTGTACGCGGAATATTAATCGAAACAGATGCTATGCCTCCTCCCATCACCCTTAATGCTGGCATCCGTGATTAATCGCGCGATCCTATTGGCAGGTTGTACAGCAAAGTCGGAAGAAGAGGAGCTTTGGTGGTGGAAGTTTGAGAAGCAAATCTTAATTCCGCAACTCTAAATTGAGGAGATCTGAATAGGGTGACAGCATATTTCGAGTTGTGGGAGATTTCTGTTGTTTTTGTTTTTGTCTAGTGATGCCTTTTGTACTGCTGTATCACCACACAATATTTTGAGGGTGGGAAGTATTATTTCAAGACTCTTAACCTTTTGTGCTTTTGTGTGTGGGTGTTTTCCTTTAAATATTATTTTCTTGCTCTCATATAATTATAGCGATGAAGGTAACCAGATTACCACATTGAAAAGAAAGATAAAGAAATTTGGAGGGAAATGGATGGAACGGGCTGTTCCACGGGACAGATTTTGGGTGTTTTTGCGTTCCACCTCCCCCCCTGGAACGGGTTTGTTCCACGTCTGTGGAACACAATGTTTTACCATTTTAAGACAAATATACCCCATGTCTTTTTCAAAAATTACACCTTCGTTCCGTCCTGTCCCGTCCCGTCCCGTCCCGTTCCGTCCCGTCCCGTCCCGTCTGCGTACCAAACGCACCCTATGATACGTCTTGAGTGTCGGTAGTTTAAATAGTGGGGCCTGTATAAAGAAAAAAATGAGTATTATCGTTATTGTGATAGTCTCTATTTATAGTATATCAGTTTGTTTAAAGTTGCTAATCTTTTTGATACAGTGAGTTTATTATCTAGAAGATTTTCTTTTGGTCAATGGATTTGGTATCTAGATAATGATGTTTAGAGAAAATTAACAGGCGGAGTGGGACGTTTGTTTTAGTCAATGGCACCTGTCTCTGGAATTTGTCTCTCCCTTCAATTAACAAATGATGCTAACTGGTTTTTCTCTACTACTCCAAAGTAAGAGATAATTTCAGTCATTTAACCGTTAGATTTTTATTAAAAAATATAAAAATTATTATTTAACTATTAAAAAGTCAAGTATATTCTACCCTGCAGAGTACCATAAATTTTTTATACTAAACTTGTTGAGAGGTAGCATGGTTCAAAAAGTCAAGTATATTCTACACTGCGGAGTATCATAAAATTTTTATACTAAACTTGTTGAGAGTGTAGCATGGTTTAAATTCATCTTTTGCGAAAGTCGAACTTAAAACTTCTCGCTTACCAATGAAGAGGGAAAAAAATAAAAAATTTATAACATTTGTAAAAAGTGGGTCACATGTAAGGATACACGTTTCCGATTAGAATGATCCGGAAAATAACCCTGCATTTTGGTGAATCTTCTGTTTACCTTATATCTTGGAAAATGAAAGCTAAGTGAAGAAAGGAGATAAAAAGTTTGAATAAATAACCTTGGAAACCATTTGGATCCAAATTCCAGGGCATGTGGTATAATAATACTATGAATTTGAAGAAAATGACACAATTTTTCTACATACATTATTGGCTGCTTGATGCGGATGGCTTATTGCTATACATTTAATCAAATATATCACCAAAAAAAAAAAAAAAAAAAAAAGACAGGAAGAGAAAAACTTGGGATGCATTTCATGAGTCCTAGATTTGTGTTTGCGTCAGCTTGCGTATTGAGCGTCGGAGTTAATCCGAAATGTCTATGTACCCTTCAAACTGCAGTTTCATTTGCTACCGAGATTTCCTGTGAAAAGAAGATAAAAAATGATGTCAAATTAAGCGTATACACTGCTTTATTAATGTCCATGAGACACTGAGTGATCTGAATTGCAAATTGATTTACGTGACTAGACTAAAAACAAAAGGGATTATACAGACTGAAACTTATTTGGAGAATAATAATTCGATTGACACGGATGAATTTCAATTTTCACCAGAGAAGCTATGAATATGGAAGCAGTATCCAAAGATGAATAGACGAAACCATCTTTCAAAACCTGTATACGATGATCAATTTATATGTCGGGACTGAATCCTTAGCTGGTTTGTCCTCGTCATTGGATGCTTGCTGACATGCTACACTAAAAATTCAAAACCAATAGTAAACTAGTCTATACATGCTAACTTGCCTTTGGCGTTGCTGTGCTTGAGAAGGTGCATCTTGATGTGATGGCACGTCCATGATCTAACAGCCATCCTACCTCGCTGTATGTATCACCATCTTTAGTTTCTTTCACTGAACACCACAGCTGCTTGGGAAGCAATACGAGACCACTTTCATCTCTTACGGAGCTCTGCTCGCTGTTGTCTAAAAGTTCTTGAAGAACATTCTGTTTATCAAGTTCACATTGTATACTAATTAGACCATGGAATTACAAGAAATCCAACAAATAAATACTTATTTACCAAATGGATGGATAGGAGGCCATAACTTCAGAAGATCAAACAAAGATATTAAAAAGTGACACAAAAAGATCAATCAAGATTGAATGAGAGAATATGTAGATGTTTTGTGATTCCCACGGTGACAAAAACAAAGAATGAAGTGAACCTCCGGAGCGACCAAATTGCCTAACTTTTAACCAAACAAAAGAATTATTTGAACATATGAAGCAGACTTAATGATATTCAAGGACTTGAGCTTCGGTTAAGCATATCACGCAAAATATACACACCAAACCAAAAAGAGGAGGACCATAACTCACAATCTGAGTACCACTGAAACTGGCAACAGCACTGGGACCTCGCCAAGTTCCAACAACTTCTGAAGCTTCCAATGCAGCCGTAGAAGCAAAGGCAGAATCACGGATAGCACATCCACCTAACTGATCCCCATCTCTGAATGGCCCATACCAATTCTCACAGTAAACTCTAATATTCTCCAGCAGCATTTTCTGATTCTCTATGCGGATGACCTGAATCATTCTCACCCGAGACTCTTTATCTTCAGGATTGATCAAGCAATACTCTAACTCCAGTAACTTATACGTACCCTTATCCTGAATTGGCAAGACAGACACATAACATCCACTAGACTGATATGCAAAGGCAGAAACTTCGTTACTCTGACCACCAATATTCTTCTCAATGATTCTATATCGAGTGGCGGCATCAGCTTCACATCCAACTGTAGGAAGTAGCTCTATATTCTTGTATAAAAGAATGTGCTCATCTGCGTTAGCAAGAGTGGGGCATTGAGTCTGCCAATCAAAAACCTTAACCTCCCACTCCCTGTAAGCTGCAGGTACAACATTCTCGGGAAGTTCTATTGGGCACCCTTCCCTTGTGAAGTCTGCTCCATGGCCATCCCATTCACCGGACACATTCCTGGCAAATTCGGACCACGCTCGAACACATAAAAGAGAAATTGAATTATAGCAGCAAGTCAAATATATTAACTTATAGATTCTAGACTTCAAATAGTTAACATAACAAATACAAATTTAACCATCATCTCTCTTATCCATTGCCTTTTCTACTATAAATGAAACCGGATATTAAATAACTGACCCTTTTAGATTGGCAGATTGCAATTTCTTTGGAAATTAGCTATGATGCACGGATACTTCTGTTTGGTCCCGTATCCCGTATCCGATACTTGATCGGATACGATACTTGCCCGATACTCTCGGATACTCGTCCGACACGTATCCTGGTTGATGGACACGAATTTGACATAATGGATATGCGTATCCTACATTCAGGATACACGTATCCTGCTTTTAAAATACATTTACACTTTCAAAAAAAGGTAATGAGGAGGAGAAAACTAATAGGAGACATCTATAATTGAAAGTTGCTAAATACAAAGAGCTTCCCTCTAATTAAAACCATGAATACGATTCTCACACTTCTTCTACTGTATAAAGAGGATTAGATTTTGAACTTTCCTTCTCTAACAACTCAAATGTACTTGAATTTGAATGATGAATTATTTTTTTAAATGTATATTTTTGTTGCTATATAGATTTTTATTTGCCGTATCCATAGCGTATCGTATCTTAATTTTTAGAGATTTTTCGTATCGCCGTGTCGTGTCGTATCGTATCGCCGTATCCGTATCCATGCTTCATAGGAAATTAGTCATAAAAGTTATTACATTTCATCACTCAATTTCAGACTTATACTCTTATCAACTGTGGTACACCCTAATCCAAAGAATGGAAATTCACCCGCCAAATATCAAACTGGATATCTAAATAACTGGAAATTTTCCATTGGAAGCCCGAAAATTCTTTGGAAATTGATCATAGAAATTATAAATTTCAATTACTCAATTTCTATACAACCCCAAATCCAAATACCGTCTGTTGCTCCAAATATCAATGCAAAGATGCAAACTTTTTGACGCTACAACAACGATCATACGATTTTAATAAAACCCACAAAAACCAAGTAAATAAGCAGATTTTTGGCAAAAGCGCTTAAAATACACTCACCAGAAGCAAAAGTGGAAATGGGATTGAAGCCATTGCTGGGGTCCTCCTCCTGGAGCTGCAGCTTAACATCTGACACAGCGGTGTTGGAGGAGGAAGAGGCAGCGCTCTGGACAATCTGACCTCTCTGACGGCGGTTGTGATGCAGTTGGAATTGAGGGCTCGAGGGCTTTCTGGGAGAGGGCAGAGAAGTGCTTAGGCTTAAAGCTGTGGTGAGGGGGATTATGCTGTTTAGAGCCAATGCCATGTGAGTTGTTTCTTTCGGATATATGGGGTGGGTTGTGGTGGCCGTCCGTTTCTCTGCTTTTATTACTCAGCCGCGGGAATGAGGTGGGAAAGGACACAGATGCAGTTGTTGCCTTGTTCTTGGTTGCATAAAACAAGATGACGGAATATTCTTTCGAATCGCTTGGCAGCAAGTGGGCCCATGGGAATAATTCGTTAATTACTTAGACTGGCCTTCAGAAAAACGATGTCGTAGTGGCTTAATGTGTTTCTCCAATTTAGGGTTATAATTTTCGATGTGCTGGAAATACGGTCTCATACAATAAATTTCATCAACAACCATGTCAACGATTGGTTTAGTTTACTAGGGAAGTGATTTAATTCCATAAAAATAAATAAATAAAGGAGATATGATTTAAGAGAATTTTCTTAAAAGAAATTTATTATTGGCACTTCAAAAATTATATATTTAAAAAAAATGTACTTGTAAGGAGTGTCCAATGAAAATTTTAAAGTGTTATAACTTATATCAGTTTCCTTTCTAAATGATAAACAAAATGCACAAAAAATATTTTTGGTTTATTATTAACGTAGGAAATTTTTATTAACATTCTAAAAATTTAATTGTGTTCTTCAAATTTTTTCTATTTAGAAGGAAAAATATTTTTATAAAAAGCATACTAACTAAATTTATAGAGTGCTAATAATAATTATTTTACTTTACTACTTGTATTATGTAGTGCATATTGAAGTGCATGCATTTTTTGTTTTGTTCAGGTGGAGATGGATCAAATCTTTTGCACTTAAAATGGATGTGACCTCTTTGTAATCTTAATCATTGATTGACACGTGTTTATAAACTTAAACTTATTTTTTTTAAACTTTATTATCATAAATTTAATATGTGTCAAACAATAATTGAGGACAATGAGAGGCCGCACTAATTATTGGATAAGATCTGATCTCGATGGTGTACATGCCTAACGTGGAAAACCCCATCTCCTCGTGAGACACATCAAATGCCACTGTACGTACGCACTACAAAATTTACACTATGTTTGGATGAAGAAATTTAAGATTACTAAGGAATTTTAAAATGACGAAAATTGAAATGACGTGATTTTATTTTCTAGAATTTGTGAATTTTGTTGTTTGGTTTACCTAAAAGAACAATGGAATTGAAAACGGAATTTGTTAATTTTAAACTCCTAATCATAGAAATTGGGAAATGACACCTATTTACATAGAATTTAAACTTGGAAATTGGAGGCCCCAAATTCCAAGTTTTTTTTCTATGCGGAAATTCTAAATTTCTATGTTAGAAATCCAAACAAGGGAATTTGTGCATGTCAATTTATAAATTTTGATTTTTATCCAAATTCCAAGTTTATTTTCCTCATCCAAACATAGTGTTAATGAACAGTTTGCCTATCAACTATCTTTTTGTCTCCTCTGATTTAGTAATTTTGTTTTTCTCAAGTTCTTGTTTCCCATTATTTGCACCTTCTAATAGAAGTGCTCACCTTATTCGGTCATTCACAATCGAGTTTGTGGAAGCAGAAATACTCTATTGGGTCGGTTTGGAATTGCTTCAATAAAAAGCGCTTTTACTACATGTATCTTCACAATAATTAAGTAGAAACTTTTAGGTAAATTTTTAAGAGAGTTACAATTGGGAGTGCTTTGCTTTCTACATGACAAGTGTCCTTAAAAAGGAAAACTAATGAAAAGGGTTTGAAAACTTTGAGTTTTAACGATAAGGACAAAATAAAGGGTAAAGTGAATAGTACCAAGATTGACTTTTTAGTGTTAAAATGTGGTTTTTTGTTAAAGTGAACAGTACCGGGAGCTTTTCGTTAAAGTTCCCTTTTTAAAACTCATTAGCAATTTTATGGTGTAAAGAAGTGTTTTATTGTCAAAAATTATTCATTCTAAAATTTGTTAAAAGCACACCCTTACCTACCCTTACTTATCTTGCGGCTCTATTACCCTGGTTTATTAGTATTTTTGGTATATATGACATAGCCCGACCTGGAAAGGTTGAAGCATGTTGGCCATCACCGTGAGGTGACGTAACCATAAGGGTAAGTGATGCAAAAAGTGAATAAAATTAAAACTAATTAGAACTAAACAGTGAAAAAGTGCGCAATCGTGAGTTGAACCCACTACAATTATTCAGAGTGTAATAGACAGTGAGACTACATAAGAGTAGTCAAAACAACCAAAGTACACTTATTACATAATAGTCATAAGTTCGTACGTCTAAACAGAAGGAAATGTCAGAACTGCCGCGATTCCTCGAGTGCCACAAAGAGTACAGCTGTCTAGGTCCTGGAGGAGCGAAAAACAAAGTTGAGTGGGTCAGCAAAACAATGCTTATAAGAAAACCCTTAACTTTGAAAATACTAACCCCTCACCGTAAAACAAGTATAGTTTTCTTAAAACATACTACTCAGATATATAAACAATAATTCGATAATATTATAGCAGTAATGTAACCAGGAATATGCCAAGTAATGTATCAAATGCCACAGTAATAATAGTGTGATAATCAAGTATAACCAAGTGCTCATCCATCTAAGCTGACATACAAGTTCGAACAGATAGTTTTTGACACGAACATGACTGGGTGTAATCAATATGCTCTAGTACTACGATCACGTGAAGACTGGTGCAGAAGCACATCACATACAAGTCGGATTGCCTAATGCAATCTACCCGACAAGACTGGCACCTAACTTGGATCCATGGTGAGCGAACAGTGCGATGTGAACATACACGTGAAGGACTGGCCCTGGCCCTGGGGCGAGTACTAATATCGGCGTGCAGCAAGATGAGCATGTACATAAGTATGTATGAATGTCATGGCAGTAATATCTCAGCCATATAGCAGCATTTATCACAATATATATCACAATAACGATACTTGACAAAATAAGCATAAAAGTGAAGTAAATACGCATTTATGGAAATTATAAATATGTATAGGTATAAAACAACTGCCCACTCACAAGTACGTTGATGGGTTGTAGCCCCCGAGCCTAGCTTGGCCTCGTAAATCCTCGGGATAAGTTTCCTCTATATGCGAAATAACTAAAATAACATTAATTAAAGCACATAACGGAAACCTAAATAAAACCCCCATAGTTGCTCAAACCTAGGGTTTAAATATATGAAATCGATCTACTCGACGACACGAACACACACTTGTTGAACACACGCTGGCCGGATATGCCGTCACGCGCCACCCAAAGTGGGTGCACAAAATGGTCACGCGCGCCCACGCGCCCGCGAGTACAGGTGTACTCGCCTTCCTCGTGATTTTCTGCAGTTTTTGCAGATTTTTGGCCAACTTCCAGAGCTCCTAACGAGCTCGATTCTCAACCAAATTCACTTCTACAAAAACCAAATTAAAGCTAGGAATGTGATGTATCGATCCTAATTCATAGAAAGTTCGAATATGGTCTGTGTTATTCAGAAATTTGGCCTGAAAGTGGCCAAATGACCACAGTTGCAAATTTTCCATAAACTGAAATTTTCTTCCCAACTTCTAGAGTTGATTTCTAACTCGTTACTTAACCAAACTCAGTGATTCAAAAGCCATTTTGAAGTTAGGAATGTAGAGAATAAGTTTGTACCTAGTAGGAGCCCATATGTGGTCGAGGTTGATTGGAAAAAATGGGTTGAAAGTGACCAAATGGTCATGGTCCTTGACTGAAAAACGTTCAGGTTCTTTTTCTTCTTGAGTTTTATGGGTAAAACCATACGTTCAAAACACAAACAAGAGATCAATATCAACCCATAGAAGTGAAATGAAGGTTCTAAGGGTTTCTCGAGGCTTACATAAGCCATGAATGGCCTGAAAATCGTTATGTCGAACTCGCCGAGTCGACCTTCCGAGTTGGTGAGTCAAAACTTGTCTACACCAGATTTCAAGGACATGGTTGTGATCGTGGGACTGGAATGAACACAATGGTGTAGTTGGTTTGTCACGTTTGTGAGTTTTGGTGTGTTTTTGTGAAGGTTGCAGAGAGGAAGAGGGAGCTAGGCGAAGGAGAGAGAGAAGAGAGAGAGAGAGAGAGAGTGATGTGAGGTTGCTTTTCTGATTGGGGGACATAAATGAGGGAGAGATGGGATAGGTGAGGGAGTAAATAATGGAGGAAGGTGCACAAGATGGACTAGGTAGAAGCTAGGGATAGTCTTTAGACTTTTGTATAGAAAAGAGTATCGAAAATCTATTCGGAATAGTATTTTCGTACTGATAATATTTACGTACACCCGTAACAACGTGTACATTTAAATGCGATAGTGAGAAATAAAAAGGAAAGCGATAACAATAAGTCCACATCACTTGCCAATAAGGGCATAATCGTCAAATTACATATTCGGGGAGAAATTACATATGAAAATTAGGGACGGGTTGTCACAATCTACCCCTTTATAAAAATTTTGACCTCGAAATTTCAATACTGACTACCATCAAAGCCATAA